ATCTGAACGCCACCTGGAACGTTGGCAGGGGGGAGTGGAAATGCCAATGCAGGGTACAGACAGGGAGCAAGACTGATTGACAGGGTGAAGTCATTGAGTTGAGATTGTAGTAGTAGGTGGCAAAAATGCATCCTGTCCTATACCTGATTGGCTCTTCCACATCAGACACGCTACAACAATGTAACTGCCGTTATACAACCAAATTATAGCCGATTCTCTTATTCACCCTTACATCAGAGTTACATGGTAAGCTTTAGTGCGGCAAAGGCCCTAATTGAATCCCATTTCTCAATTTTATTTCGTCCCCTAACGGGGGAGGGGTGCGCCTTCCTCTTAGTTAGTGCAATAAAGAGGCAACGCTTGCAGGGCCGACCAGCAAGCTAGCCATTGGCACCTGCTCCCAAAAGAAATTAATTTAATATCATGTGGACCGATGGTCCACGTATCAGATATTAAACTGATAAGAACAGATACTACACTTGATCTTAGCCAAAAGGCAGAGAAAGGTATACCTGGGACAATCATCATTTTTGCCTTTATTTTCCGCTTTGGCAGTTTGCAATCGTGTTCCGTGGGTCTCTTCGACCTTGGGTTCTTTCATCCTGGTGCCACGTATACAACATAGAGTTTCAGCCTGGCTTGGTTTCAACTGAAACCCTACAGGTGAGCCACTAATCGACCAGTAATCACAACACGCAGGTAGTGCGGCAAAATAGGTTGATCGAAGTTCTCTCCACTGCGCAGTGCAGCACAAACAGTTTCCAGCCCAGTATGCCCCCACGCGACGCGATTTCCATGCGTCAGCCCCATGGTTTTGCGTAATGGCTTTCAATAGTAACTGTACCCGTTTGTGCTGCGGCGTCGTGCTTCGTGTTCCTCCCACCACCCCTTTGTAATCCTTCCCATGGCTCGCCGCCGGGGGACCCTCACCCGTGTCCCTCGCCGCAGTACCGCCTCCGCCGCACCACTGGAGTCCACCTCCGCGCGCCCAGCGCCTCTCAAGCCTCCGACGCTGTTGACGCGTTCAGCGCAACGCCATCCGCCCCGCGCCCAACGCGGCGACCGCCGGGGAGGTGCGAGCTGGGAGCGAGCCGCAGGCTTCGCGAGACAAGGCGAAGGCTGCGAATCCGGATATAAGCAGCGACGAGTGAGGTGCAGGAGATTGGCTCTCTCGTCCGTTCCCCACCTTCTCATCCCCTCCCCACCCTCTCATCCCCTCCCCACCCTCTCATCCCCTCCCCACCCTCTCATCCCCTCCCCATCCTCTTATCCCGCCTCCCTAACACGGGATGCGACCTACCATGCGAAGGCAATTGTATTGAATCCATATTGTTACGATGTGTGCAGTTCAGTCATGCGACTCGTGACATTCTTGCAATTCTTGCCATTGAGCGATCTGCAGCCTTCTCGCGTCCAGTCCCCTCTGGCATTGTGCCTTCCACTCCCCCATCATCTTCCACTCCCCCATCATCTTCCACTCATGCTGCTTCGTGCCAATTCCTGTTGCTCCTCCCAACCCCCCTCCCGCCCCCCCTCCCCCTCACCCCCCCCTCCCCCCCCCCCCCCTCCAGCCATCCTCCACACCCGCTGCCGCTGCCACGTGCCGGTATCAGGCTCCCGCTGCCATGTGTCGGCTGTTGATAGGTCCACGGTTTGTTGCTGCTGGTATATCACAGGAACATCTACTTCTCTCTCCTCTCCACCCCCCACCTCCCCCTCCCGCTTCCTCCTCCTCTCCCCCTCCCCGCCCCCTGCCCCGTCTTTCCTCCACGATCCACCCGACAATCAGAATCATGCCGCCACATGTCGGCTCTAGATAGAGCCGACTTGTGCTGGTGGGCCAGGACGAGCCCATCTTCTTTCCCCCTCCCCTTTCCCTCCGGCCCCCTGCCACCCGCCCATCAGGATCCTGCCGCCACATGTCGGCTCTGGATAGGCCCATCTTCTGCTGGTGGGCCGTGACGGGGTCGATCCACGTGGTGCTGGAATGGAAGGCACGTTCGTTGCGCCTCACCTTACCACGTGGTGCTGGAATGGAAGGCACGTTCGTTGTGCCTCTCCTTACCACGTGGTGCTGGAATGGAAGGCACGTTCGTTGCGCCTCACCTTACCACGTGGTGCTGGAAGGCACATTTGTCGCGCTCGCCCACCTCACTGGCAATGCTGCTGGGGTGATATGCCGATGGCGGCGCTTGGTTTGACTGACGCATAGGGTAACGGACGGGTGCAAGGACCTTATGAGCAGAGCAGCACCTGGAGCGCTTTTCTGCTAGAGTGAGTGAAACTTGTGTGGCGGGTGCGAGGCAAGGGCCTTATGTACGTGTGGGGTTAAACATTAAAGAATGCTCTTATGCCAAAGAACACTGCTGTGGCGATGGTGACGCTTGGATTGACTCGTGAGTCAATAGGCAGGCATGCGGTGCAGTGCATATGCTGCAGGTGAGGTTTTCCGTTGAGTGGGGTTCAAGTTTGCTCTTGTGGTATTGCAAACTTGATTTAGTCTGGCATTGCATTGGGGTGACGGTGGTGCGTGGATCTGACGCTGTAACGTCTGAGCATCCTGTCGTGCCCTCACTTGCAATGCCCGAGTAATGCTGGGAGTGGATTCACCAGCAATGCCCGAGTAATGCTGGGAGTGGATTCACCAGCAATGCCCGAGTAATGCTGGGAGTGGATTCACCAGCAATGCCTGCCCCGCTCCGCCTTGCCCTACCATCTGTCCTTCTGCTTCTTCCCTCGCAGGGAGGGAGCACAGAAAAGCTGACTCTTACCGTGTGCCTTGCTCTGCTCTCCCCTTGGCCTCATCTGTCCGTTTCATCTGTCCCTTTGCACCACCCATTTGCACCACCCCTTTGCACCACCCCTTTGCACCACTCCTCCCCCGCATGGAAACAGTGCAGCAAGGCTAGCTCGCGACATGCCTCTCGTAATGCATGTGTCCCCCTAACCATGTTGCCGGCCTGTCTTGTCTCGAAGGGAGTTGTCGGCCTCCTAACGTCCCCCTGCAACGTCCCCCTAACCATGTTGCCGGCCCCCTAACCATGTTGCCGGCCTCTCTTGTCTCACCTTACCCTCTCACCTGCCCCGCTTGCCTTCACCCCGCAGATGGAAGCAGCACAGCAAGGCCGACTCGCGCTATGCCACTCGCAGTGCATGGGCTTTTTTTCTTGGTGCCTCTCCTTACCTTGCCGCCTGCCCCTTTCTCTCCTTACCTTGACGCCTGCCCCTTTCTCTCCTTACATTATCGCCTGCCCCTTTCCCTCCTTACCTTGACGCCTGCCCCTTTCTCTCCTTACATTGACGCCTGCCCCTTTCCCTCCTTACCTTGACGCCTGCCCCTTTCTCTCCTTACCTTGTCGCCTGCCCCTTTATCTCCTTACCTTGTCGCCTGCCCCTTTCTCTCCTTACCTTGTCGCCTGCCCCTTTCTCTCCTTACCTTGTCGCCTGCCCCTTTCTCTCCTTACCTTGTCGCCTGCCCCTTTCTCTCCTTACCTTGTCGCCTGCCCCTTTCTCTCCTTACCTTGTCGCCTGCCCCTTTCTCTCCTTACCTTGTCGCCTGCCCCTTCCTCTCCTTACCTTGTCGCCTGCCCCTTTCTCTGCCATCCTGCCTTCCATCCGTGAGCTGGGAACCGCTTTTGGGAGCGGCGAGCTGGAAACCTTCACAAGACCTGGCGAAGGCTGCGAATGAGCAGCGATGAAGAGTGAGGTGCAGGAAAATCAGTTCTCAACGCTCTAATTCCCTTTCATCCCTCTCATTCCCTCCCCTCTCTCTCATCCCCTTCCCACCCTCGCGTCTCCTCGCCACCCTCGCGTCTCCTCGCCACCCTCGCGTCTCCTCGCCACCCTCGCGTCTCCTCCGACCCCGCCTTTACGGAGGCGCGTCGGCGCCCCACTGCCATCATGCCTCCCACTGCCATCATGCCTCCCTCTGCCATCATGCCTTCCCGCACCTGTCGTTGCGTTCCCACACCTGTCGTTGCGTTCCCACACCTGTCGCTGCGTTCCCACACCTGTCGTTGCGTTCCCGCACATGTCGTTGCGTTCCCACACCTGTCATTGCGTCCCCGCACCTGTCGTTGCGTTCCCTCACCTGTCATTGTGTTCCCACACTTGTCGTTGCGTTCCCACACCTGTCATTGCGTTCCCACACCTGTCGTTGTGTTCCCACACTTGTCGTTGCGTTCCAACACCTGTCGTTGCGTTCCCGCACCTGTCGTTGCGTTCCCACACATGTCATTGCGTTCCCACACCTGTCGTTGCATTCCCGCACCTGTCGTTGCGTTCCCACACCTTTCGTTGCGTTCCCGCACCTGTCGTTGCATTCCCGCACCTGTCGTTGCGTTCCCGCACCTGTCGTTGGGTTCCCGCACCTGTCGTTGCGTTCCCGCACCTGTCGTTGCGTTCCCATACGTGTCGTTGCGTTCCCACACCTGTCGTTGCGTTCCCACACCTGTCATTGCATTCCCACTCCTGTCGTTGCGTTCCTACACCTGTCGTTGCGTTCCCACTCCTGTTGTTGCGTTCCCACTTCTGCAGGAGCGCAGCACGGCGGGCTTGCACCTACAGCACCTGCGATGCCTACAACACAGGCAACTTGGCAACCTGGCATCCTGGCAACCTAGCAACCTGGCATCCTAGCAACCTGGCAACATGGCAACCTAGAGCAAGGCCAACTCGCTCGCGCTTGTGATGCCTGTCTTCTCTCTCTTGCGTTTCTCCGTATCTTCTCCTGCATCACTCGCAGGGGGAGGACTAGAGCAAGGCCAACTTGCTCGCGCTAAGGCACCTGCGATGCCTGTGTTCTCTCGTTTACCGTGTCCTTCCTCACACTGTCACCTGTCCCCCTTTGCCTCATTGCCTCTCCTTTTGCAGCGAAGGAGAATAGCGGATCTCACTGTCTTGCTGCATAACTCTCTTTCCTCTCCCTGCCCTTCCACACTCCCTCCCCTCTGTGGGGCGGAATACAGCAAGGCTTCCTCGCTCGCACTAAGGCACCTGCGATGCCTGTGTTCTCTCGTGTGCCGTATCGTTATCTCGTGTGCCGTATCGTTCTCTCGTCTGCCATATCTTTCTCTCGTGTGCTGTATCGTTCTCTCGTGTGCCCTATCGTTCTCTCGTCTGTCCTATCGTTCTCTCGTGTGCCGTATCGTTATCTCGTGTGCCGTATCGTTCTCTCATCTGCCGTATCTTTCTCTTGTGTGCCGTATCGTTCTCTCGTGTGCCGTATCGTTCTCTCGTCTGCCGTATCGTTCTCTCGTGTGCCGTATCGTTCTCTCATCTGCCGTATCGTTCTCTCGTCTGCCGTATCTTTCTCTCGTGTGCCGTATCGTTCTCTCGTGTGCCGTATCGTTCTCTCGTCTGCCGTATCTTTCTCTCGTGTGCCGTATCGTTCTCTCATGTGCCGTATCGTTCTCTCGTCTGCCGTATCGTTTTCTCGTCTGCCGTATCGTTCTCTCGTGTGCCGTATTGTTCTCTCCTCTACCGTATCGTTCTCTCGTCTGCCGTATCTTTCTCTGGTGTGCCGTATCGTTCTCTCGTGTGCCGTATCGTTCTCTCGTCTGCCGTATCGTTCTCTCGTGTGCCGTATCGTTCTCTCGTGTGCCGTATCTTTCTCTCGTGTGCCGTATCTTTCTCTCGTGTGCCGTATCGTTCTCTCGTGTGCCGTATCGTTCTCTCGTGTGCCGTATCGTTCTCTCGTGTGCCGTATCGTTCTCTCGTGTACCGTATCGTTCTCTCGTGTTCTCTCGTCTGCCGTATCATTCTCTCGTGTGCCGTATCGTTCTCTCGTCTGCCGTATCATTCTCTCGTGTGCCGTATCGTTCTCTCGTCTGCCGTATCGTTCTCTCGTGTGCCGTATCGTTCTCTCGTCTGCCGTATCGTTCTCTGGTGTGCCGTATCGTTCTCTCGTTTGCCGTATCGTTCTCTCGTCTGCCGTATTGTTCTCTCGTCTGCCGTTTCGTTCTCTCGTCTGCCGTATCTTTCTCTCGTGTGCCGTATCATTCTCTCGTGTGCCGTATCGTTCTCTCATGTGCCGTATCTTTCTCTCGTGTGCCGTAACTTTCCTCACATCACACTGTCACCTGCCCCCCTTGCCTTCCCTGCCGTCCTATCCAGGGAAGGAGTACCGCGGTATTTGAGAATTCTCAAACATCACTCGCATGGCCGATTCACGCTATGCTTTCTGTGGCGCCTCAAAAGCCAATTCACGCTGTCCTGCTCGAGAAGGCGGTGTGCCCTCAGTTGAAGGGGCCACTGCTTTCATACAAGGACCCGCCTGCTGTCCTCACTGCTTCCTTGTCCTGCTATACTTATGCTCTCACCCCTCTGCTCTGATCCCTCTGGTGAGCCTCAATGCTGAAAGACTTTCAAGGATCCGTCCAATTCCCCGCTTTCCCTCCTCCGTCCTCCCGCCCCCCTTTCCTTCCCCTCCCCCCTCCCCCTTCCCCGCTTCACTCCCCCTTCATCGTCCCCACTCCCCCCTCCCCCCGCCATCCCCCCTTCTCCCCCTTCCCCCTCCCCCCTCCCCCGTCCCCCATCCCCCGTCCCCCGTCCATCGTCCCCCATCCCCCTTCCCCCTTCCCCTTTTCCCCCTTTCCCCGTCCCCATTCCCCCTTCCCCCTTCCCCCTTTCCCCGTCCCCATTCCCCCTTCCCCCTTCCCTCTTTCCCCGTCCCCCGTCCCCCTTCTCGCTTCCCCCTTTCCCCTTCCGGCTGCCGCTTTCCTGCCCGCTCCCATTCTCACATGCTTACGTTTGCTTTCTCCCCTGGCCAGCTATTTAGTGACGTTTGAGTCTGAATTCATTCCCAGCATTTGTATCTCTCCCTCGCTTAACTAAGCGGCAGTGAATCCTCTTCGTTTCAAGCTCCGTCCCTTCCCTCCTCCCTTTCGTACTCACTTCCTTCCTCCCCCTCCTCCTTCCCTCCTCCTATCTTCCTCCTGTCCCTCTTCTATTCCCTCCTTGCCTACCTCCCTTCGTATCATCTCCCACTCCCTCTTTTCCCACTCTCCTGCTCCTATGACCCAGTGCAAACCTTCCCCTGCCATCCTTCACTGTACTGCCTCCCTCCTTACCAGCTACAGATACACAAGGTGATTGAGTCAACTCAAAAGTCACCATCCTTCACTCACAGTCTCCCTCCCTACCCCAGCTACATCGACACGTCATCCACCTCCCTCCCTCACTGCGCCTCCCTCCCTCACTGCACCTCCCTCCCTCACTGCACCTCCCTCCCTCACTGCACCTCCCTCCCTCACTGCACCTCCCTCCCTCACTACACTGCAATCCCTTTCCCGTCTCAGCGATATGGTCACCTCATCTGTGTGTCATCATGCTCCCACCGCTCGCATACCCATCCAACACTAATCCTCCACACCCCGCAACAAACCTCCCTCACAGCTATTTCCCTTCTTGCATTGCATCTTGAAACACCCGTCTTCCGTCAACCACTAGCAATCTCCCAAGGCCAGCTGTAAGTCGATGTCATGCCCATCCAAACCCATCCAAACCCACCCAAACCCACCCAAACCCACCTTATCCCTCACATCACTGGCATCTCGAAGGCCCTTCTCAGCGTCATCCTCTTTGCGACGAGATTCCTGAAAGGTTCCAAGCACTGCCACCCGGTCCGGGCCTGATCTCTTCTGGGGGTACAGCATCGCGATGAGTGCCGAGTGGAGCATCGTGGGCCATCCACCGCCGCTGCTGGGGGCAGATCACTGCAGTTTTGGAGCGCCGTGTGAGGCGCCGTGTGGAGCGCCGCATGGAGTGCCGTGGGCCATCCACCGCCGCTGGAGCGCCGAGTGGAGCGCCGTGAGGTACAGCATCGCGATGAGCGCCGCCGCTGTTGGGGCAGATCACTGCAGTTTTGGAGCGCCGAGTGGGGCGCCGTGTAAGGCGCCGTGTGGAGCGCCGAGTGGGGCGCCGTGGGCCATCCACCGCCGCTGGAGCGCCGAGTGGAGCGCCGTAAGGTACAGCATCGCAATGAGTGCCGCCGCTGCTGGGGGCGCCGATTGGAGCGCCGTGGGCCTTCCACGGCCGGTGCTAGAGGCAGATCACTGCACTTTTGAGAACACCCAATGCAGTTGGGGGTAGTGGTGGCGGAGGTGGGGTGAGTGGGCCAGTGAATGGGGCTGTGAAGACGGGACATGCAAAGAGGGAATGAAACGTTTTTTAGAAGATATGACTTAAGCCAGAGCAGTGAAGCGGTGAATAGGGCAGTGAATCAAGAATGTCAGGAGGAAATTAAGGGTACCATAGATCATACCTCTGGGGCAGAGAAGCTACCATACCGTACCGGTACTGCACTTCTGGCTGTGCACACCTTCTGCACTGGCCTGCTGGCCGGTATCTATAGAGGGGCACTTAATTCGTCATGGATGCAATCTGTGTCAGAATGAGAAACGAGAATGAGGAGTGACTAGCAGGAACAACAGTACAAATATGTCAAACCCTAATCTGGTGTACCCCTTATGGTGTGACCCACTACAGCCTAGAACCACACAAACATATAATGTTTGACACACCCCCATAGGCAAAGTGGGGAGACCTAGGGGTCACAAGACCAGTCAAGGCAAAACAAGGCAAACAAGCTCAGGGTGGATCTCGAGGATTCCACACAAATTCCGAGCACAAGCAAGCGGTCACAAGACCAGTTCACATGCAGTTTTATAATAGAGCAAGAGGTACAATGATCACAACCTAACAAGGCAAACATGCAGGTAAATATATAATGATCACAGTACAGGTAAAGTCAAGAAGTAAGTAAGTGAGAAACAGTCGGCACAAGGCCTAGAAGAGTGCAAAAACGCTGATGGTCAACAGGCGGAAGCGCCTTGGTGAACACATCAGCAGTGTTGGCCTCAGTGGCCACGTAACGCAGAAGAAGCTGACCACGCTGCTGTAGCTCTCGAGCTAGAAAACAACACAGAGCAATGTGCTTCGTCCTGTGCTCCAGTCTGTGCTCCTGGCACAAGGCAATGGTTGCCTTGTTGTCGACGTACAGCACTGGAGGAGAACGAGGCTGCTCTCCAAGGTCAGTCAGCAGGTAGGTGAGCCAGCGAAGCTCCTGGGCAGCCATGGCCGTGGCGTAGATCTCAGCCTCACAGCTGGAGCTGAGAACAGAAGAAGAACGAGTAGAACGCCAAGAGACAGAGCCAGAGCCAAGACTGAAGGTGTAACCCTGAGACGACCGCTGAGTAGCCTGGTCGTCTGCCCAAGAAGCGTCTGAGTGCCCAGTGAGAACAGGCCGGTCTCGCCCTCCAAGCACTAGCCCCATGCCCGACGTACTGCACAAGTAGCGCAACACCCTCTTAGCTGCATCCATGTGCTCCTTCCGGTGACGGCCGGGAGCAACATAGCGTGCTAAGATGCTGAGAGGGTATGCTAGGTCAGGTCGAGTGCAGGTCATCAGGTACATGAGGCAGCCCACAAGCTCTGGATACGGACCACTCGACTCTACGGACTCATCCGAAGGCAGAGCTGAGAGCGAGTGGCCCGTAGGCAGAGGAGTGGACTGAGGCGAGGAGTACGTGAAGCCGAAGCGCTGAAGGACCTGCTGCACCATGTGTGACTGAGTCAGGGTAATGGTGCGGCGTGCTCTGTCCCGGGTGATCCGCAAGCCAAGATAGCTCGTCAGTTCACCCAGGTCTGTGCACGTGTGTCTCTTCTGCAGCTCGGACTTCACGTGGGCGAGTGCGGCAGTGTCCGCAGTGGCAAAGACCAAGTCGTCGACGTACACGAGGATGTAGAACAGCGGCAGCGTGGTATCGGTGCGCAGAACAGCGACGGGTCAGCAGTAGAAGGAGCAAACCCAAGAGCCGAAAGTGTAGTCCTCAGTGTGTCGTGCCACTCACGCAGCGCCTGGCGGAGACCGTAGACTGGCCGCCGGAGGCTCCACTGGGTGCCTGGAGGGAACGACCCAGTGAAGCCAGGTGGGCGGCGCAGCCAGATCTCCTCGTGCAGGCTGCCCTGCAAGAAAGCTGTGCTGAAGTCAAGAGAGTGGAGCTCGTAGTCACGCTGAGCGGCGACGTGTAGCAGAACCCGAAGAGTGGTCATCTTCGGGGTCGGGGAGAAGGTCTGGAAGAAGTCAACTCCCTTTCGCTGACTGAAGCCTCATGCAACGTAAGGCGCCTTGAAGACAGGCGGAGAGCCCGGCGGCCGCTTCACCCTCAAAATCCACATGCCACTGACGATGTTCGCCCCAGGTGGGGGAACCTCGTCAACGTAGGTGCCTGTGGACTTCCAGGAAGCCATCTCTGTGTCCATGGCTGACTGCCACTGAGAGGAGTAGGGACCGGCCATCGCCTCTGCGTAAGAGCGTGGGGTCGGGATGTCTGGTGCATCCGGGTCTCCCTCAGGGGCAACAAGCATGGACACGAGATGGGGCAAAGCAGCGGCAAGGCAACCAAACTCCTCCTGCCTGTCCTCAAGGACGTCCGTGCCAAGAGCACACTCACCCCCGACGAACGGAGGACAGGCAGACTCAGACTCAGCAACAAGACTCGCTGCGTAGTCTAGACGACACGCAGCTGCAAAGTCGACAAGCTCAGTGACTAGGGCAGACGCAGCAGCGGACTCAAAGGAAGGGTCAGTGACAACCGTAGCCAGGTGACGTGTGACAGTAGGACTGGCAGCACGAAGGGTGTCTGACTCCGGGTCAGCAAGAGCAGGAAGAGAGGACGCAGGAGGCGACGGGAGAGCAACACGCTGCGGAGCAGTGGACTGACGAAGCGCCATCCGGTGTGTGCCTGGGACAGCAGGTTGACGCTCACGCGGGACACGACTACCAGTGGTAGCAGCTCGAACAGGCGACGCTCGACGAGACGGAGGTGACACAGGACGTGACGCAGGCTCACGTCTCTCAGCAAGACCGTCAGTCGGACCAGTGTAAGGAGCTGGCACAGGGAGTGGGGAGGCAGGCGGTAATTGTGGCTGTGACTGGACAGACGGCGGACACTCTAAGGCGAGAGGAGAACAAGGAGGAGGAGGCTGACCAAGAACCTGCTGAAGGAGCGGAACGAAGTACGGTCGTGGCCGTGCAGCAGCTCTCAAACCAGCAGAGACACCAGCGGCAGCAGCAGCACCTCGAGAAGCAGCAGCACCTCCAGCACCAGGGTCCGCAGCACCTCCAGCAGCACCGCCAGCAGCAGCAGCACCTCCAGCAGCACCGCCAGCAGCAGCAGCACCTCCAGCAGCAGCAGCACCTCCAGCAGCACCGCCAGCAGCAGCAGTACCTCCAGCAGCACTGCCAGTAGCAGCTGCACCTCCAGCAGCAGGGTCCGTAGCACCCACAGCAGCTCCCACGCCCCGGTCCTCAGTACTAGCAGCACCTCCAGCAGCACCGCCAGCAGCAGCAGCACCTCCAGCACCAGGGTCCGTAGCACCCGCAGCAGCGTCAACTCCGGGGACCCCAGCACCAGCAGCTCCACTACGGAGACTGATGTGCCGAGCGTACCACTCTCAAAGCTGAGGGGAAGAGGGCGGCTCCCGCCGTGGTGGGGAAACACGAGTACCAACTCCAGCAGCACCACGAGCCCGAGACTCACCCCGCCGGAGGCTGCAGTACCGTCAGTACCACTCACGCAGCTGCTGCGAAGAGGGAGGTCCTCCAGGCGCCTCATAGTCAACTGCAACACCACCAGGCTCAGCACCCCCAGACTCAGCAACTCCAGGCGTAGCACCCTCAGACTCAGCAACGCCAGGCTCAGTACCCCCAGACCCAGCACCCCCAGGCTCAGTACCCCCAGATCAGCACCCCAAGACTCAGCACCCCCAGGCTCCGCCCGCTCAGGCTCCCCACGCTCAGGCTCCGCACGCTCAGGCTCAGCACCTCTAGCAGGACGCGAGTCGACAGCTACCTCGGCAGGCTCAACCGGGTCTACCCGAGAGACACCTGAGGGAGCGGCACCCTGAGGGGGAAGGGGGTCTACCACTGCAGCACCTGGCGCGAGGAAGAGAGGCGGGGGAGGGAGCGGGGTAGTGCGGTAGGGGAAGAGGCGGTAGAAGGGCACGGACTCGTCAAAAGTGACGTCCTGAGAGGGGAAGACTCGGTGCGAGGCGGGGTGGTAAAACTGCCAGCCAGACGCATCCGGGACAAAGCCAAGAAAGACACAGGGAGCAGTGCGGGAGGAGAGCTTGTCCGCAGACGTGTCACGAACAAAAGCTTGGGATCCCCAGACATGGAAGCGTGACGCATCGCCAACCTCCCCCGTCCACAGCAGTGTGGGCGAGGTCTCCGGAGCGGAGACATGGGGCCAGAGGTTGAGCTGATGCGCAGCGTACCGGACCGCAAACGGCCACAGAAAGTGGGGAGCAGCCGCGTGGACTAAGGAGGTACGAGCGACCTCCATGACCAAGCCAATGCGGCGCTCAGCAACCCCATTCTGCTGTGGAGAGGCTGGGAGCGTGAACGACTGGCGAATGCCATGCTCGGCACAGTAGGCTGCCAAGAGGTCGGAGGAGAACTCGCCACCTCTGTCAGAGTGCAAGCGCAGAACAGGAAACTCCGAGCGAAAACGCTCTCGCAGCTGAAGACGTGCTTTGCTGATCCAAGGGATCAGAACATCAGGGACTTCACCCTTGGTGCGCAAGGGGAAGACCGTGGTGTAGCGCGAGTAGTCGTCAACGACGATCAAGAAGTACCTCTCCTGGCCCTGACCACGGACGCGGGCTGGGCCCCACACGTCCATGTGGAGCGTCTGCAAAGGAGCAGTCGTCGGGGGGAACGAGGAGGAGTGAGGGGCAGCGCGCTGCCGCCCCTCGACACAGGGAAGACAAGGAGGAGCAAGGGAGGGAGGGAGGGGAGGGAGTACCCGAGGAAGACCAGAGACAAGGTACCGGGCGTGCATGCCCCGAAGGCGCTGCACTAACGGGTGACCAAGTCGGTGGTGCCAGAGGACAGTCTTGTGCGCTAGAGAGCGACACAAGCAGGGGGCAGAGAGCTGACCTGACGCAGACGCAGACGCAGACGCCGCTACCTGAGGGGACTCAGTGGTCAGTGTGTACAGGTCCGACCCCGGCTGACGAGTGAAGGTAGCCAGGTGACGGCCCGTCCGAGCACACGTGCAGTGTGTCACGCGCTCGTAGGCAGGGGT